TTTTGTCAGTAGATCCATGTACCGTACTGCTGCCGTAGTATCGTTGGCTTCTTTGGCGAGTGCAGCTGCGGCACGTAGTGATGCCAACCATAAGCATCCACAGTAAGCACTGTAACGAAGTGAATTTTCCAACCAGAGATTTCAAATTCAAAAAATGGCCAAATAGCATGTAGTCCCATTATACCAAGAATACCAGGGCCATCCGGAAAACGCAGTGTGAGTATTCCATGTTGGTGATTTTGTTACTGGGATTCTCTCATACGCAGCGTGCAGCTATGCTAGGCTCTTCGATTCTGGACTATGGACCAACAGTTGGCGGATCCAGCAGGGGATCCAGCGGTGGGAGTGCTGAAGCTGAAGAAAACTGTCTTCCGTAACCCCGGTCGCCCCCTACAAGTTATCGCCCCAGCGGAAGGCCCATTTCTACCACCTCCCGCACAGAAGACCGTCCTGGATTCACCTACGATTAATAACCACCGTTTGTATGGTGTACATGTGCTACCCGTTCGGGAACCGCTTAACCGGTTGCTTCTTTTATTGGTTGCTTCCTCCAGACAGCTCTCAGCTTGCTTCTGAGCAACCCTCCGGAAATGGGGCCATCGATAGTCTTGCTAGCGGATATTTAGTGTTAGAAGATGCCATCAACGAGGCTAGTTCTAAGAAATTTCAAGAATTTTAGAAAACAGTTACCTTACTCCGCTCATTTTCCAAGCATCATAGGTTTGATCAGCTGCACCAAAATTTTCAATCATGCAATCGCCATCCTGGTCCCAGCATTCCAATGCTTCCGCAATAAGATGCTTGATAACTGGCCACACTTTTTGTAAAAATCTGTAAAAAATTTCAAATAAAATCAAAAAATACGCACAATTATTATATTAAGTACAACTGGTACCTCGTATGATCAGTTTAAGGAATATTTCTGTACTCAGATTATTTCTTATAATTATCATTTTTGCCTTTTTTGTCCGAAAACACCTAACTTTTTTAAGACTTTCGACAATTTTTCCCTATGAATACCATTCATCGATCTACATCAAAATTACACAGACAAGAGTATACCTCAAATTTGCTACCTCAAAATTACACAGACAGTGTTAAAAAAAGAACAGCGAGAGCTTCTTGAAGCAAAATGTGGAAAACTTCGAAGTTTGGGGACTGCTAACCTTTTATCACGATCGAGGATGCACCAATAATCCCGGCAGCAAGTTAGGACATATTTCAAATTGAGATCTTTCCATTTTCCAGTATCATGAGTGACGTATGCATTGATACAAAGCCATGGTTCCACGGCTGGAAAATTTCACTTCGAAAATGAAACTTGTTATTCTAACGCCATTTTGAGCCAAAACTTGTCAAAACAAAATCACATGAACTGTTAGTATATACCAGTAGAAGGTAGGAATAGGAATTACGCTGGATGAATATGTGCCATATATTAGATGAATATGTGTGTATTTCATCCCTTAGCTATAAACAGAGATAAGGTTCCGCGTGCGGATATGAGCGGGAATCATCAGTACAGCCTCTTAACCGTAATGTGTTGGATGCACACATGATGAATTCGGACAAGATATAAATAAAAGTGAGAGAGAAGAACGACTAAGACGGAAAAAATCCCCTAATGTCACTGGAAAAAACAGCAGGCCGAAAGCAGCAGCAACGCCAAGACTACTTTTCTTATAGCCATAAATACATTCCTGGGACTTCTAAAGTAGACACAAAATACTCAGCAGATATCCCATACTCCACCAGTAATACCAGGATCAGCTGTAATTCATGACCTCTGCTCCAATCACACGCAGCTGGCTAGTTTTCAATTGCTGTGATCAGTGTTACTTCACTTGACAGTTAGCCAGCCTGCAATGGGGACCCTGGCTGTCGTTTTGGTTCCAGAAAAGATTCAGAAAACTTAGTATACGCTATTTTCTTCAGAAAACTTAGTGTTTTCAGATTTTTTCAGAAGATTCAGAATTCCGGAATTTTTTTTTTCAGAACAAAAAAATTGGCCAACGCACGGGCTGCCCGTGCGAAGATGCGTTTTTTGCATGGTTACCCGAAGTTTTTGTTGCTACCGGCACCGGTTTTTTCGGCAAATGCTTTTAGCTAAACAAATTAAGACTGGC